GCCCCCGAGGTCGAACTGGAAAGAATCGTCGTCGATGGGGCTCAGAAGCTGACATAGAAGTGCATCAATGATCTGTCCCGAGTACTGCACCTCTCGCAACTGGTCCAGTGGCCATAAGAAGGACTGTTGTAGCATATCTTCGTACTGATCATCGAACAACTCCAACACAGCAGTAAAACTCTCAAAACTACTGTTCCAAATAGCTTTCCCCGCCATCCGTCTCAACTCTGCATCTAAATGATACTCCATCCAACAAAAATTCAAATGTTATAGCATTGAACAAGAGATAACAAAAGAAAGCATAATCTCACAAAATTAAGGGAATCGAACTCTAACTACCATACAATCACAAATATTACATTTGAAAAATATATCTACAAAAAACAACAAATCAAATTAAATGTATTGTCAAAAAAATTAAAGAATATAAATATTATTTAAATAAATTGAAAAAAAATCAAAGATTTTCATAAAAGAACAATAAAAGAAACAAAACAAATTGTTAATTTCGAACAATATTATATATTCAATTATTAAATTATATAAAAAAAGGCAATTATAAAAATTAATTAATTAAATAAAATAATTATTATTTGAAAAATATATTTACAAACAAAAAATTTCAAATTAAATACATTTTCGAAAAATGTAAAGACTATTTATATTATTTAAATAAATTTGAAAAAATAAATTAAAGATTATTTCATAAAAAAAAAAGGAACAACACAAAATTGTTAATTTTAGAATATTTCAATTATTAAATTATATAAAAGACAAATATAAAAATTAAATAAATAATTACTTTACATTTTCAAAAAATGTAAAGACTATTTATATTATTTAAATAAATTAAAGATTATTGCATAAAAAAAAGGAACAACACAAAATTGTTAATTTTAGAATATTTCAATTATTAAATTATATAAAAGACAAATATAAAAATTAAATAAATAATTACTTTACATTTTCAAAAAATGTAAAGACTATTTATATTATTTAAATAAATTTAAAAAAATAAATTAAAGATTATTGCATGAAAAAAGGAACAACACAAAATTGTTAATTTTAGAATATTTCAATTATTAAATTATATAAAAGACAAATATAAAAATTAAATAAATAATTACTTTACATTTTCAAAAAATGTAAAGACTATTTATATTATTTAAATAAATTTGAAAAAATAAATTAAATATTATTTCATAAAAACAAAAATAATAAGGAACAACACAAAATTTTTAATTTTAGAATATTTCAATTATTAAATTATATAAAAGACAAATATAAAAATTAAATAAATAATTACTTTACCTTTTTTTAAAATGTAAAGACTATTCATATTATTTAAATAAATTTGAAAAAATAAATTAAAGATTATTTCATAAAAAAAAAGATCAACATTGTTAATTTTACAATATTTCAATATTATATTATATTGACAATGATAAAAATTAAATAAATAAATAATATAATTACTATTTAATCAAATAAAAAATTTAATTAATTACAAAAATTATAAAAAACAAATAAAAATTAAATGTATATATTTTTTACAAAATAAAGCAAACTGTTAAACAGTCTGGGCCGATACAGTCGACCCGACTGTTAACAGTCGGGTAAACCGACTGTTAACAGTCGGTTATGTCGAAAATCGTCATTACCGGTGACAGAGCTCCAAAAATTGCAAAAAATCCATATTTTTCACACTCTGAGCATGCCCACAATATAACTATTCATGCCCATGAATCTAATTAAACCGAATAATGTAAAGAAAATGCTAAATTTACTTATTCAATAAATTTTCTACTGAAACAAAAAGTCATCATGAAAACTAATCGGTTATTTTATTTCCGGTGTGGATGAAGGTCGTTGACTGCGACGTTGGTGTAGTTGCCGGTGGTTGATCGGTCAAATTTCTGGCGACTGTGCGTCGATTTCTTTTTTGTCGATCGGTTAGACAGAATTTTTCAAACAGTCTGAAGGGTAAAATCGCCTTTTACTGTGAAATTTTTTTTTAACTTAATTTGTTTTTTCTTTAATTCATTTAATGGGTCAAAGGTCAATGTCAAATTTTGCTACAGTGGAAGAGTCATTTTCGTGTATTTCCTCTTCTGGGGAAAAAATTCTTATCCTCCCCCAAATCTTTTTAAGCGTTGTTGCTTGTTCTTTATTTTCGTTCTTAATTTCACTATATTCTCTTGATGAATCCCCTTTAGTTATTACACTAGTGTGTAACTGTGTTATATAATCGGACAAGATCTTTGAATTATCCTCATTTCTTTCCTAATATAGTGCAGTTGCATATCTACGATTATGATTCCGGTACATACGATTCAGAATACAAATAATGGTTCGAAAGATTACAAGTTTGCTTTCTTTTGTCTTTTTCCACACATATGCATCTATGATCGATTACTATGAAAGGCATAGTCCCAGATATTGTGATAAACCCCCATGTCTTTCCTTCTCTACAAATGTCTAGTAATTTCTAGAGGCTACTTTGGGAAAAGGGATTATCCTCATCTTTTGACTCAAGAAATTCTTATGAATGCGAACAATGGACGTAGGGTAGTTTAATTTATATAGTTTTCCTTTTGACTATGTAATAGAATTTGTTTTCAAACGATACTTGTCTTGTACCCTTTCTTTATATCAATGAAAATTTTCATTTTATCATTTTTTGCTTCACAGTCGTTCGATTGGTTAAAAATTATTCGAATCAATCGAAATTTTTGGTTCAAATTGATCCGATTCGGCTCAATTCAATTGAATTTTTTGCACAATCGTACTCATGAGTATATTTTATAATTAGTATATAATTTTAATTTTATTGCTTTTACTAGTAATATTAGTCTATTAACGTGTTTTCAAGTACTTGTAAATAGTAATTTTATGAAATGTATGGTTGAGATAGATAAAAATTATGTGTCTAAACATTATATAGTTAACATTGATGTTTAATCAATTTATAGACACTTTGCCACGCTGAAGTCGAGATAAATTGTGAGTAGATATATAAATATAAGTAAAAAAAGGAAGAAATAAAGCAGTGAAATTGGGCTTCCATGGACGAAACAAAGCCTTGAAAATGGGCCTCCATACTGGACGAAACAAGATGAAAATGGGCTATTGATCATGTGGGAAGCCTAGAAGAAAATAAATAAAAAACCCAAAGCTACTTTTTCGAGTCAATTTACAAATCACATTGTAAAATAGATAGTGGATTTCTTTTGTTGATCTTTTTCATGGTTCGATAGATAATTTGATAATTCTTCTAGTTTGATGTATGGAATATATGACATGGGTGGATGCCTGAGTGGGATGACGGGATATTACCATTTGAGTCCTGTTTTTCATGCTTCTTACGGAGGTCTGGAAAAAGCTGCAATCAAGAAGATTTTCCTTAAAAAGTTTATTATTTACATACATACTTTTATATTATTTTACTCTCAAAATACATTTTTATTTTTTTGCAACACAACATGTAATCTTGTAAAATTATATTAAGCACACTTCACCACCTAATTTCTATCGACACCACATAGAATATTGCACACATTGTCTGTCCATCTATTTTCATCATCACAGTTGCCATCACTTGTAACATTTAGTGTTACACGACCACCACTGCAGCCCCACGACTAGTAGTATTTAGTGTTATGCCATCATTTACTATATGCATCTTCTCATTCAATAATAACATATTGTATTACCACCACCATCCACCACAGGACAACCATCATTACCACCTTACCTCACCATCACACTACTACTCAAAAACATTTTAAAAGTTGAGTGACTAATGAAATATAGCGAGTAAATAATGAAGTGCAATGTATTACCATTCGAAAGTATTTTAAAATTCAATTAGTAAAGCATAACGGATGTATAAATTAAGTGACTGATGTAACGTTTAACTCGCCCTACTTGCCACATATTTTTTATCAAGAGTAAATTACAAAGACCTTTCCTTAGCTTATGACAATTGCAAGAACATCTTTTCCAAATTTTTAAAGTTCCATAAACCTTCTATTTTAGCATAAATTTTCCTTCCTCTATCTCTCTCTTACTTAACTTTTTTCTTATTAATTTTAATTTAGACAAAAATAAATTATTTTAATTTAAAAACTTTAAGCTTTATCTTTTTGTGCCAAGTGATTTCATTTTAATTATATTTTTTGATCTTTTATTTCTTTATAAAAATGGACAAATTAAAATTGATCTAGAATATTTACTATAATATGAATTAAAAATGAAATCTGGCCTATAAACTTTTGATATCAATTTTAGAAATTATATAGTATAAAAAATGTTGCTCATTTATAATATTTCATTGTCACAAAAAATTTGAATTATAGATGTTCAGTTTTAAGAGCACAATTTTCTATCCTTTTTTTTCCTTTAGTTCGTTTGAGATTCATCAAATCATCTCAACAAATTGATATCAAATATTACATTTTACATCACTTATAAAATATTTCAAAATAATGTGTAATGCACATTCAACTCTGCCAGTTAATGTAAATATCAAGAGTATAAAGGAAAAAAAATTAGAAAAAAATCCTATTAAATCTAGCTATATAAAATATCTAATAAATTTTCAATAAGCTTTATTAAATTTTTTATGCATTAATCTATTATCATGTATATGTACATGTGTATACACACACACACATATATAAGAATGATCTCCTATTCACCAATTAAATGGTGTATCATGTCATCGGTGCTTAACAAAATGCTAAGCACTAATGCTACCATAAGCTAAGGTGCTTAGCTTATTGGTGACATGCCACATCATTTAATTGTTGAATAAGTTAATGATAAGTCTTATGAATATAATGATTCACCAATTAAATGGTGTGTCATGTCACTAGTGCCTAATATAAATTAAACATCGGTGCTTAAGAGATCATTTTCATACATACACACACAAATATATAGACAAGTTGAAACAAAGTGTATTTGGTTGATCAAAATAAAACATCAACAAAGTAAAATACTGTAAGTAGATTTTCTCTTTATCTATTGAGAGTTGGCATAGATTAAACGGGGACATGAAAATATTAGAAAGTCAAGTATAGATCAGTTCTTGTGACATCCTAGTACCATGACAGCATTGAGAGTTACATCAGTTGATCATCATAGGATCAAAATTAGGCTGTATGTCAATTATTGTTTAGTTAGTATCAAGGTTCATAGCTAATTGTTTTGAAGATGTACATGTGGTTGTAGTAGTCACATTCTGCTGCAAATCAGCCAATGAGAAGGACCGCCACACGGGGAGATTCTTCCGGGGAGAAGATGACGAGGACGATCCGGAAAAATTGCATTCGGTGGGATGCGTGTCACTTTCCGAGTTGCTCATGGCAACGGCCAAGGCCAATGTGGTTCGACCGGAGTTGGTCATTCTCTTAGAAATCCCACCTAAATTACTCCTTGAAAGGGAGCTTCTATTCTTGACATCCCAGCTAGCGATACTACAGGCGATGAGGTTTCTTCGTTTCCTTGTGTACGCATTCTCGGGTTTCGAGATGTTTCTTATAGACGACGAAGAAGCATCTATCAAACTTGCAAATGACTTGGATTTTCCATTATAGAATCTTGAAATGCCTCTCCTGCAAAAATAGAAGTCTCAGCTTAGCAAGTGAGGACTGTAAACTGCATGTCCCGTACGCAAACTTAATGATACAAACTTTTCAGTATTATCTAATTCTCCAATTCTTCCTATGATTCGATTTAAAACTTTGGAAGTCATTGTTTCAAAACAAAGTTTTATCCTCACTACATTCGAAGCCCGACTATTCGAACTTCTTTTATCTCCAACTCCTTCTAATCATCATTAGAGTAAAATTAAGGTCGATTTTATTTATTTTTTTATTACCATTTGATCGACTCATCTCAAATTTTTATGAAAGGATCCAGTCACCAAAGCAAACTCGTCCAAATACCATTAATATTTTCTTTTCTTTATAAGAAAAAATAAAAACATTGAACAACCCAAAATCTGATTGGACAATGTTTCCCAAAGTCAAATATTAAAGCAATAGGAATCTAGGAAAAATCAAAATAATTTCGATGAGATCAAGGTATATAATTTAAACTTGAAATGAAAAATAAATTGAAAATGATAAAGAAAATATGTACCAACCTCATCGGTAAAACTTCCTCCAAGGCATTCATGGCATCCAAGGGCCCTTTATATGAACTCTGAACCTCTTCATTTTCATCAAAATTACCCGATGATTTCTCAGAAATATCACTATTTTTTCCTATAGATGACGATTCTGATTCAGAATTGCCAGGATCCAATCTCTTTTCTTCTTTCTCTCTCTTCTCAACGTCCATGAAACCCACCTTTTTCGCCACCGGAAACCTCCTATCGCCGCCGTAAACCGCCGGCGTTTCTACACAAGACATCACATGCATGCACCCACCACCTTCAACTCCATCCTTGTTCATGACCCTTGTAGGCATTTTCAAAAACTAAAAATTCTATAAATAGATAGGATATAAATATATTGAACCCTGCAAAATATATATCGGCAAAGGGCATTGAGAAGAAGATGAGATCTATGAGTAAAATACAAGATAAATATAGAGAGAAGAAAACATGGTTTATTGGATAATTCTTGAATCTTGGGTGTGAGATAGCCAAATAGGGAATGGATAGAGAAAATAGTATATAGTAGTGATTATATATTTATAATGTTTTTATTTAACGACAAATGAATGAAAAATTTACATAAGGTCGAATTAAATTGAATATTCGTTGTGGATGCTGCCTCGATGCTTATAATAAAATAATAAATGGGATAAAGGGGTTAGGTCTTATCCTCAAATTATCATCCACTACTTTAGTTGATATATTTATTTATTTATTATTAGAAAAAGATAAAAGTTTAATATATTTAAGATTACTTTGATTAGAAGCTTAAGTACTTATTGGTTTACGTTTTTTCATATATATGTAGGATTATTTGGTCAACTTTTTGATTTTGGTGAGTGAGTTTAATCACACCTAAACCATTTTTCTAATATTTTATCATTACTTCGTCGGTTCGTAGGCAATTGATATGAATTGTTTAACGATTAAATTAAACTTATATTAAATTATTTTGTCAAGCATAAATTTCATTTTTTTAAACATAAATTTTATTGGTGAGTGAGCTTAATCAAATCCAACCATTTTTCTAATATTTGATCATTACTTCGTCGATTCGTAGGCAATTGATATGAGTTGTTTAACAATTAAATTAAACTTATATTAAATTATTTTGTCAAGTATAAATTTCATTTTTTTAAACATAATTTTTATTGTTGAGTGAACTTAATCAAACCCAACCATTTTTCTAATATTTGATCATTATTTCGTCGATTCGTAGGCAATTGATATGAGTTGTTTAACGATTAAATTAAACTTATATTAAATTATTTTGTCAAGTACAAACTTCATTTTTTAAACATAATCTTTATTGGTGAGTGAGTTTAATCAAACCCAACCATTTCTCTAATATTTGATCATTACTTCATCGATTTGTAGGCAATTGATATGAGTTGTTTAACGATTAAATTAAATTTATATTAGACTATTTTGTCAAGTATAAACTTCATTTTTTTAAACATAATCTTTAAGCAAGTGACATTTAAGTTCAAAAGTTAATTGATTGAATAAAATTTCAGTTTTTTTATTTATTGCTTTTAAATTCATCTACGATTACATTTAATTTCCTTTATTATAATTATTATAAGTGGAAAATAATTGAGATAAGGAGTGATGATGCTGCCTGAAATACACAGCCTGCTTGGCTGTTCTTTTCAGGAAGACAATAGTTGATGGATCAGCGGAAATGATTGTGCAGCTAAAATTGATGTGTAATTTCAGAAAATTAACTTTTAAGTAAATTTAAATTATCAACTTTTTGTTGGTCAAATTTCTTATTTTGATTTAACATTGTAGTAAATAACCCTTGTGCTTGTTTGGTAGGAATTTTGATAATATATTTTTTTGATCGTTAGAGATAAAGTGGATCTTATCCATGAGAGAATAATTAAAAAAATAACGACTAGAATAATGAAATAACAGCCAAACATATTAAGTCCCTATTTGGTACTGATTAAAATTAAATTTAATATAAGTCAAAATTAATAATTAATTTTAAATATATATTTTCTGAATTTTGCAATTTTTCAACCATTAATTTTATCAACTTTCATTTTAATCTATTAAAAATTTAATTTTAATCTCAATCAAACATCGGCTAAGCATAGCCAAACATGCACTTGCAGACAATAAATATCTGGTGGGTTTGGTTAATTCTTATCCAAAGTTGTCAACTATGGAGCATAGTAGTAATTGATGCAGTTGGAAATTAGCTGTGTAAAATTCAATAATCTACAAAAGTTTTTATTTTTCTTAAATGGGTCCCACACATTTACCCCTTGGCATTGGATAAGATCATAAGGATCTTTGTCATCTTTTTCTCTCTCCTCCATAATTCACCCCACCTCTTTCTCTAGGGGGAAAAGAAATGAATTAAAAAAGGAAAAATAACAAATAAAAGTCAGCTCATTCACATGGGCTTTTGTCAATTAAAGAAGTCTTATCTTAAAAATCATTTAAACTTTGTCCATTAATAATTGGAAAAAATTCAAATTTTGGTAATAATTTCTTGTACCAAGCATATTTGATCCCTGGTGTTTAAAAAAGAGTAAAATAATCATAACACTTTCATCATAATTGCACAATTCATCAAAACATCACGCTACATTATCTTTCCACCCTCATGGAAACGTGTTCATGTTCGAATTTGAAAGTATCAACCCAAATCGAGAAGCAATTCTAGTTTTATAAAAGTTGAGGACCTCGTTGCTAATAGGACAAGAACTTGGAGACCAATAGTATAATTTTTCCTTTAAAACTTGGGCCTATGCTATTAAAATCCCAAGTATTATTAACTCATTGGTCCAGCTAAAAAATGATCAAAATTTAACATTTCATTTGACTCAAAAAAATTTAATCACGTATTTCGTCAATTTTTATCAAAATTTATTAAAAATCTAATTTTTGTCTAAGCCAAGGAACTCCTCAATTTATTATTTAGGTAATTTGACTACGCGATTTTGAATAATTTGACCAAAAAATCATCAGAAAATGAGGAAAATTGCACCACAAATCTAAAAATAATTGCTCGAGTAGCTTTATGTCATGCAAGAATTCTAATAAATTTCAATTTTTTTTATTAATATTTCATAAGTTTTTGTTTAATTATTACGTAACTTGTGCAAAAAAAAAATTATCATTGCTTATTCCAACATAAGATTAGCCTTTATTTGATTTTCATTCTTTGAAAAAATACATTTTTAAACAGTATTTTAATATTTTCTCAACCACATATTCTATAATAAAATAATATTACACGTAAATCCAAATATTTTTCTTATTTTTTAACTATATATTTTTTATCAATACACCATTCAAAAATTTATTCTTATCTAAAGAATGGGGCTCAAACAAGGGCTAACAATCTTACCATTGAGCTTAAAATTTGAGAATTTTATCTTTTAAAATTTATCCAGTAGGAATTCATAATCAACAAAAAGGACAAATTAATAAAATAATGGGCCCATGATCCAAGTATATAGGCCCACGAGATATGATCATGTAGGCCCACATATATGCCTGCCTGGATATCACTGAGCCACGTCCTATCGCAGCAGTTGAAGTTTGTCGCCAGATAAATAAACACAAGTCATTATCCGTACGGACGATAATTACTTCAATTTAATTATTTCCTTTAATTTTGATTTTTGTGACCATCACAATATTTTATTTTTTAAAATTCTTTCTTGCAGGCTAACACGTGGTTAGAAATCATTAAGACCATATTTTATGTTTATCAGCTCCCATTTAATTTAAATAAAAATCAAAATTTTGACATGTTAATTGAATGTTCTCGAAAAGTGGATCTCGAAAATATGATTATAGTTGATTAACTTTAATTTAAATTTAAATTATTTCATAGTTGAACCAAACATGAACTTAGACGTTTTAACATAAATTTAAAGCTATTTTAAAAGTCATAAATTAATATACACAACAATAATGGTGAAAAAGGAAATGATAAAATAAATACTCGCGGATCTTCACAGATGATGAATGTCAAAGAATATGTTATTAATGTAACCCGATCCATCGTATAAGAAATATTTTCAACAAGATTATTGTTTGAGAAAATAAAGGTCGAGTGTTGAAAATAAAAGCTTAAAAGATAAATTGATCCAAAAATCTTTGGCATCATCTTCAAGTATCCCATTGTCCATGTGCCAACTTTTGGCATGACAATAAACCGGCTTCAAATAGATTTCGCTTTCTCAAAGTCTCACCTATGAGTAGTAGCAAATTTAGAAATGAACCTCAACTAGAGCAATTAATGATCGTTGATCATTGCCCATCAACAGTTAATGATCACATATAGAAAAAAGGTTAATGAACCTCACAAATAACAAAATTTTCAAGTTATCATTTATTACAAATCACAGTCCACGGTATCATATATTCACAAATTTTCCAATTTTCATAAATTATAAACCTCGCCAGCAGGTAGCAAGCTCACATCCATAATTCACAAAACATAGCCCCGTTTGGTTCCCATTACATTTCACTTTTCTCTCTTTTATTTTTAACCACACAATCTTCCATAAAATAATATTACACGTAAATCGAAATTTTTACTTCTTTTTTTAAAAAAATAATGTTCCACCCATTTTTACTTTGAAAATGGAAGCCGAACGGGAGCATAAATTATAAATCATTCCCCAATAAAAATAGCATCCAAAAATTAACTTTAAAAAAAAAGCCAAAAAAAGGAGGCTTAATGATTCACACAACGATGATAGATAGTGGTGTCAAGGGCTTTGGCCCTGTCCGCCGAGGGCGCCAATTATCCGTAATTATCCGTGGCGTCAATGACTCAATGACAACAACTCACAATCTACACACCACTGGCCTAGATTTGTCCATCTAAGTTCTAACATTAACCATTAAAAAAAAATAAAATTGTAAAGGTAGTGGTACTGTGTACAAATGTTAAAACTAATAAAAATTAAGATGAATTCCCATAAAATGACTGATCAAGAAAAAAAGCCCAATCACTCAGAAGGTTGAAGGCTCGACGACGGAGTCAGGGCAGACGGTTGCACAACGGAAGAGAAATATTGCATAAAGGGTTTGGTTTGTGCTTTTCACCTTTGTCTATCTTCTGCAAAATTCATTTTGTCGTATGGTATGGAGACTAGGATACAATATGAAGCAATCGTAGATAAATTAATGGGCCAATTTTTTTAAATAAAAAGCCCAAAACAAAATGCTCAAGTTCAAACTTATCTCTTTTTCCTCCTTCCATAATCCATTAGGCTTCTAACTTCTCGATGGCAATTGCAAGTCTGCAACAATGGCGGCATCCAACCTGTAAATTATGACGGAGCTAGCACGGACGAACGCGCCACCTCGCTGCCAGTGTCTACGAGTTTGAAAGTCTTCTTTACAAGTTTTCCGATAGAGGGCAGTGGTCCTGTAGATCTTGAAAACCCAATCAAAATAATAAATTATAGTGCTGGGCCAATCCTTAGATTTTAGGAGCCTTATCCTAAATTCAAATATGGGGCCTTATAAATATA